TGATTTTTGTTATTTTATTTACATTAATTTATTTATTTATTTTTACATGTTTACTGTTTAGAACGGGGGGGGGGGGGGTATTTTTTTATTGATATTTTTCTTATATACATGTGGGGAACAATTCAGTTTTTTTTAACCTTTTGATTAGTGTTTCTGTCAGTATATATTTTAGTCTACATTGTATAGTAATGTTTCGATCTGTAAAGAACTTCATGCACATGGAAGCTGCAAAAATGTAGGTCATTTTGCAAATCTTTGTCTGGGTCAAGGTCACTGTGACGAGGTCAATCTTCTGAACAAATGAATCTGACTAAAGTGAAGTGTATTCAATATGACAATAACCTGTTGTTTATATATGCTCATTATTTCATTAATTATCACATACCCCATGACATTTACAAAAAATGATGGCTTAAATTTTTAGGGGTACATCGCTATGATACAGAATATAGATAAATATTGTGGATGAAATAAAAAATTTTTGTTGTTATATTATCACAAACACACCTTACACAAAATTTATATTGTTCTTTTATTGATCTTTCCTACCAAATTTTTCTTTGACAGAATATCACAAACGGTTTTATGAAAAAAATCGCCAAAATTGTCATTCAAAGTAGACAAGTATTCATATATCATACTTGATGAATTTGAACTAAAAAGAATATACATATGCAATCTGTACTGCTTAGTGTTGCAGCTGAATACATGAAACATTCAACTGTTTGCGACTAACTAGAGTAGAAATAAAAATTACATCTTACCTTTTATCCATTAAAGGTGCACCAGTGGTTAGAGGGTACAGACATGAAAATAAGTATAGAAAAATTATGTTTGGACAGAATTGCTTGAAACTTTGGGAAATATTGCCTGAAGTGTTGTCCATTATAACTAAACTGAATTTAGTCATATTCAAGGTCATGACCATTACACCCCTAATACCTTAATCAAATGACCCTGGGTCAAGGTCAGGACACACCTTCATATCCTAAGCAATATTTGTATGAGGTAAGAACTTCCACTCTTTCTTCATTAGGAAGTTACAGAACCAGCACAGAATTTGTACTTTATCTATCAGTGACCTTGAACTTCTCAAATTACATTAACGTCATGAATTTTTAAAAGTTGGTACCCAAAATGTCTTGTCCCAAGGAATACACAAAGTAACATGAAATATAAAAACCCTAACACCAACCATTCAGGAAAATATGGTACCCAAACAAAGATCTGGTCACATGGAATATACATGTAAAATCAAAAGACCTAGCACAAACTATTTAAAAGTTATGACCAAAGTTAAAGTTTGGTAAAATTTTGAAAAAGTCGGTCAAACTCCAAGGTCAAGGTCAAATAAGCAGGTACCCAAAGAAAAGTCTTGTCACAAGAAACACACCTGTGAAATATGAAACTCCTAGCAGCATGGACCATTCAAAAAACTAGAAAACTGATCAGTCAGCAAGGGCCCCGCCGAGGGGTAGAAATATAAGGGTGCAGCTTACAGAATGAGAATTTTAATTAATTACAAAAATTTAAAAATATATGAAGAAGAATATGCAATAACAACTGTATTTATAAAATTTCAAGATAATTCCTAAATATCCAACAACCTGTAAAGAGTATCCCTGTATTTACTTAAGGCAGTAAAAAACATCATATCTATAATAACTCAATTAAATGTATATTTAAACAAGAAAAAAGCATGTACATAAAATGCCAGCCTTCAGTGAATGCAAAATCATCCAGGCTTGACCTTAACGTCAAAACAAACATCAGTTGCAGACAAAGGTTAATTTATCTTAAAGTGACAAATAAAGATAAGCCTGGAAAAATTTCTGCCCCAGACAAGATAATTAATCCCAGGGGATTAATTGTACTGCTCTCTCATCCTTTTCTTTCAAGTTTACAATAAGAACTTTTTCAGTAATGATAGAATGAGTTTATTATCGGACTACCTGTTAAAATTAATAGTTTTCTTGAATATACATACAGCAGCAAAAAAAATATGAATAAATAAATAAAATAAATAAATAAATAAAAACAAAAAAAATTAAAAAAAACATATATTGTTTTTAGAGTTCAATAAAATCATAACTAATTGTGTATTTTATCAAAATAAAGTATGGACTTTATTTAAATCCACATTTCAGCGAATGTAAACATCATTCAGAATTGACCTTAACTTCAAAACAAAGTTCATTTGCAGACAGAGGTATTAATTAATCTCAATTTGACAGAAACAGAAAATGCTTTGGATTTTCTTCAAGAGGAAAGTTAATTAATCCCATGGGACTAGTTGCAGCTTTCATAGTTTACAATAGGAACATTCTCAGCAGTTATCTCTCTTTGCCCTGGCATTCATTCTAATGTAAAGTTAAGGAATCTACCCCACTACCCCAGCTCCAAACTGGATGACATAGAGATCCAAAGTTAGCATCAAAATATGTCTCACTGCCTCTGTAACCAACATACCAAACTGGAACTTAATTGGTCAACTACAAAAAAAGTTATTAGAAAAAAACAGAAAATTTGTGGACGGAAGAATGACAGACGGACAGACAGACAGAGTGATTACTATAGGGCACCCGCAAATCCTTGCGGGGCCCTAATAAGGGCAAGGTTAAAAGTTTTTGCAGACAAACAGATTAACAGACATACAGACAGACCAAAAACTATATGCTCTGAATCTTCGATTACAAAGACATAAAGAGGAGGGTAATCCTGATTTACCTACATGTCATTTTACATGATAAAAATTAAACAACTAATAGGTCCTTAAAGTTTATAGGTATTTACTTATCCCAGTGTCAAAGAGTCAACCCTGACTCATGTCAGTAGTAAATTTAAGAAGAATGCCATTCATTTTTTTTTTTAAAGTCCATGTATCTTTTTTGAAATATGATTTCATCATTAGAAGACCAATATAAGCTCCTAATTACATGATTTATTTGTTTTGTATTCTTACAGAGAAAATGAAAAAATGTTTATGATGCCACTGTAAAGCTTAAAATTTGCTGTAAATTAATGCATAATATAAATCTAAAATAAAACGTAAGTAATCAGAGATTACAGAGCTCACCTCAATGAATGCTGTCTTTAAGCAAGCCAAAGTCCACACCAAACTAATAATCTAGTAGTGTGCATCCCTAGATGCAACATTTATGCAATTTGGGTCTGATAGGGCTTGCAGTTACTTAGGAATTGACTTATCTAAAAACTTAAACTAGTCATTCATTCAGAAAATTAAATCAAATACAGCATCTGAAGTAAGTTTAAGAGTGTCATCCCTTGATGCACCATCCATGCAAGTTTGGTTCAGATAGGCCTTAAAGTTTCTTGGTAATGGACCTACTCCAAACCTGCTCTCTCATCTGTAGAATGTAGGTATATCCAGCATCTGAAGCAACTCTGGTAGTGTGCATCCCTTTTTGTATCACCCATGGAATTTTGATTCAGATAGGCCATATAATTTCTTGGTCACAGACCTGCTTGCAAAACTTTAACCTGTTACTCATCTGGAAAATGTAGGTCAAATCCTGCATCCAAAGCAACCCTGGTAGTGTGCGTTAATAAATGTATCTTCAGTGTAATGTTGGTTATCAGAGGACTTATAGTCACTTTAAACTGCTCTAAAAGCTTTAACATGGTCACTTATCTGAAAAATGTAGGTAAATTCAGCATCCAAAGCAAGCCTGGAAGTGTGCATCCTTAGATGTATCATCCATGCAAGACTGGTCAACATAGGGCTTACAGTTATTTGGAAATGAGACCTGCTCCCAAAACTTTAATCTGGTCACTCATCTGTAGAATGTAGGTCATATCCAGCATCTGAAGCAACTCTGGTAGTGTGCATCCCTTTTTGCATCACCCATGCCATTTTGATTCCAATAGGCCTTATAGTTACTTGGAAATGAGATCTGCTCCATAAACTTTAATCTGTTTACTCATCCATAAAATGTAGGTCAAATCCAGCATCTGAAGCAAAACTAGTAATGTGCATCCCTAGATGTATCATCCATGCAAGTTTGGTCAATATAGGGCTTATACTTACTTGGAAATGAGATCTGCTCCAAAAACTTTACCCTGGTCAATCATCCATAAAATGGAGGTCAGATACAGCATCTGAAGCAAGCCTGGTAGGGTGCATCCTTAGATGTATCATCCATGCAAATTTGGTCAACATAGGGCTTAAACACTGTAGTTACTTGGAAAAGAGGTCTGCTCCAAAAACTTTAACACGCTCCAAAAACATTAACTTGGTCATTCTTTAACTGAAATTGCAGCTTTTGAAAAACCTTGACTGGTACAATGAAGCATATAGATAGAATGTTCTATCGTTAAAATGATAAATGTCCTACGGACCTGGTTTAACGATGGAATGCGTTCTGTGTATTGTCTCTGTAGCAAAGAAAATACGGGAGATAACTCTCAGTGCATTGATTATGAAAAATCCCGAGAGTTCTGAATGTCAAAATGGTGTGTAAATTTGAAACAAGTAAAACCCTTTGGTGAAAAAGTGTTGAATTCTTCCATTATATGGATTAAATTTTCAGATGAAAGGTATTTACAGTCTCAAAAAGGTTTGTTATAATTAATTTGACTGTTATTTTTAATGCAACTTCATTAATTTTCTCCAAAATCGTTTCGGAGTGATTCTGCAATTTTCTGCTACATTACGGGTATATGGGAGGCATTCTAACTGTGGTGAGGGCCTGTCCCGAGACACAGTTAGATTTTTCTAACTATGAAACATGAAGCATCTTCCATGCATCTCTGATTAAAATTAGGCATAGAAGTACTCTATGAAGAAATCTGCTCCAAAAACTTTAACCTAGGATGCCGATGCTGAGGGTATTACATAAGCTCCCCAACTTCGTTGAGGTGAGCTTAAAAGTCAAGAATGTGGTAGACATTTTAATCTTAATAATATCACACAACTTTCTAAAAACTCTATAAAATTAGTAACAGTAATTAAAATGATAACTAATAAGTTTTTTACTTACATATACAATCAGTTTTGTTATTTTTTCCATCTGATTCTGTTGTACAGTTTATGGGACATTTCATACATTTCTCCTGAAGATTCATTGGCTGATATTCTCCAACAGGGCAAGGAACGCAGACATTTGAAGAATTACGGAATGTTCCATTGTAACAGATTTCTGTTATTCAAAACAATACAGTATAATTATCAATTTATTTTATGGACATCTGTGTATTAACTAAATGTAACCTCTTAAGTACTGTTGTATTAAAAATGTAGTCTTGAATGCATTTACAAGATTATTTGCACAGAATGATGGGGAAAAAATAAATAAAGAGGCATCAAGAGTAATAACTAATCATTAAAGAAATGATCAATTTAGGTAAAAAAGCAATTTCCTATTAAATACATACTTGTCATCAAATGAGGAAAATCATATTAACATTTTAGTTTTGAAGAAGATGAAATGTGTATTCTTAAAATGTATTGTGTGTATCAGTATAAATTTCTTATAATTAAGCTCAATAATTTTTTTTATATGATCAAGATCCCATTTTTATAAATTGAGAATCCAAGAAAGATAATTCTTGGAATGTGGCAAAAGGAGGTACTCCATGTACACACAAGGAGAATGATTTCACTTGCACTCAGCTCTTATAAATGTACATGTAATAGAAACAAGAAGTCTATGAGCCAATGCTCAATAATAATACCCTCGCTCTGATGTGAATATACAAATTCATTTGTGGAAAGACAAAGGGATTGATAAACAAGTTGACATCGGATTTGCACAAAAATGAATCCCACCATATGACATGCCTAAACAAAGAGTGTGCTAAACTTTCCAGCACTTGCTTTAAGTAGTTGCTGAGAAAAACTGCAACAAAAAATGTTATATATGGTACGGACGGACACACGGATAAACAGTTCGTACAAAAATGACTCCCACCATATGGCATGCCTAATAAAAGAGTGTGCTAAACTTTCAAGCATCTGTAATGAATAATTGCTGAGGTAACAGCAACCAAAATTTGTAATGTATTGTACAGATAGATGCATGCATAAATAGGAAATTGACATTGATTTGTACAAAAATGAATCCCACCATATGGCATGCCTAAACAAAGAGTGTGCTAAATTTTCAAGCATCTGCAATGAGTAATTGCTGAGAAAACCGTGACCAATATTTGTTATGTTGGTACAGACTGATGCATGGATAAACAAGCAGGAAGTCAACATCAGATTCGACAAAAATGAATACCACCAGATTGTATGCCTAATCAAAGAGTGTGCTAAACTTTCAAGCATCTGCAATGAGTAATTGCTGAGAAAACTGTGACCAAAATTTATGTATGATATGGAATATGACACACGGATAAACAGGAACTCAACATCCGATTTGCACAAAAATGCATCTGGGATGAGTAATTGCTGAGAAAAGTGTGACCAAAATTTGTAATGGGCAGACACACTAGGGTAACATAGTATACCCCCCTCTCCTTTGGAGCGGGGGTATAATAAATGTATTTTAAGTAACACAGAACATATGAATATATATCATATAGAAAGATTTCTACTTAATAGTTTAAAATTCATGAAATACTATGCCTTACATCTACCTAGTACACATGCTTAGTTCAAGGGAAAAATTATGAATTGTTCTCCTAAAACACAATGAAGTACATGTATATACATTAACAATTTCTTATATTAAATCAAGTAAGGATAAGGTATCCTTACCCTTGAAACTTGATTTTGTACCCTTGAATGTAGTTTGCATATATGAAGGTTGGGAGGTTGGTGTGGGGTTAGAATACTCATTATAATTATGCACACTGATTAATTCCTAGTAAAGAATATGATTTTTTTATTGCATTATTTCTAATGTTCTGACTCTTTCGTCATTGCTTTCATGGGGAAGAGATCTAAAAACTCATTTTCTTACTGTACAATATAAATCTACTTAGCATACGTAAATCTGCAGATTTAAAATTAAAGTGTGAATGATTTATAAAAATGGCAATTAAATATACTCACTAATAGAACATTCATCAATGTTTACAGTTTTCATTCCCTTTGTTGTAAATCCAGAGGGACAAACAGAACACATACTGAACACATCTGTGTTGTTTTTATATTGGCCTCGTGGACATGGTTGACAGGTTTCATTTGCTTCATCCAAGACTTCATATCCCGCAGGACAATAAACTAAAAGAAATATAATTCTTGTAGCATTTAAAATTAAATTATTGACACAAGGTTGACACAACTTAACCCTTGGTAGACATTCAGACCAAATTATACCAAATTGCATATATGACTGATACTTCTACAAAGCATTCTTAACACTTAAGATGTGCCAAGGCACTAGAAACTCATTATATTCCAAGTATAATACTAGTACATATAAACACAATAAAGACCATTTGGATTCCAACACCTTAAATTAAAATGCTTCTTCCTCCAATAATGATATTCATAAAATACACCTGCTTATAAAGTTAAAAATTTTCTCTATTCTGTGTTCAAAACATTGCATTTTTAAAAGATATTCTTGTCAAAAGTGGTTCACTTACATATACAATCAGATTTGTAACTTGTTCCATCTGATTTTGTTGTATGGTTAACTGGACATTTCATACATTTCTCCTGAAGATCCATTGGCTGATATTCTCCAACAGGGCAAGGAACGCAGACATTTGAAGAATTACGGAATGTTCCATTTTAACAGATTTCTAATATTGAAAACAATTAATATAACATTCAGAAACATTTCCTTAGTAAATATCAAACCATATATAATTACCCATATTTTATCACAAGGAGGCATGCAATCAACTAATTTCTATTAATTAAATATCTAAATATATTTCAGCCAAAATTTCTTTGAGGCTATCTTTTTGTTTGTATGTTGTTTAACGTCCCTCTCGAGAATTTTTCACTCATATGAAGATGCCACCACTTGCCGGTGGAGAGCTGCAAATTTTTTCCTATACCCGGAACTTACGACCATTGAGCAGTGAGGGATCTTTTTCGTGCCAGCACCTACTGCGACACAGGACCTCGGTTTATACAGTCTCATACGAAGGACCGGTCTCCACGTCCCACAGTGGGATTTGAACCCGCGACGTAAGGATTAACTCCTTACTTTGCGACTCTAGAGCAGAGGCTCTAACCACTGGGCCACGCGGGCGACTGTGGCTATCTTAAAAGCTGGCTCAAATGTCAATAAATCAAGGGGCAGACTGGACTAAAAGGTCAACAAAAACTTATTTGTATCATTCACTGCTTTTATATGTTTCTGATTTAAACAACTTCAATGCTAAAAATATATAGCTACAATGAACTCCATTATTTTCTCTATGGGCTGTAGCCTTATGCCAATCAAGTGACAGAAAATACAATTTCATTATTTTCTCTTTAGTAATACTAATACATTTCTGATCTACTGTTTGATCTTCTAATCTGCATGTTTGACATACTTATCTCACATCCAGAGGCACCTGTAGTGTCATTCCCAGCAGTCGTCATTCCAGGTGCACAAGGGGTGCAGACATCCTCTGAAAAACTGCGGTAGTACCCATGAGGGCATTCCACACATTCCCCATCTGGTTTAAGTTCTGTTCCCTCTCTACAATCATCTGAAATGACCCAAATATATTACATACATTTATTTCTTCAGGCTTCAGCCACAATTAACAAGTGGAGGGCAAACTGAAAAAAAAAACAAGACGCCTAAGGGCATAGAATTGCTCTTCTGAAAATTGTACAACCTATAATCTCATCTGTTTTTCTGTTTTAAGCCTCTTCATAATCTATATATAAGGATAAAGCCTTGAAATTCCAAAAGTAGGTCAGCATGGCAACAATTGACAAAGTTTGATAATTCCAAGCCAATTAGTATCTGAAATATTTAAATTTAGCCATGAAGTTGCAAAAGTAGGTCACAGTGCCCTACTTTTTGGGTGATACACTCTGAGGATTCAAGATGCATCAACTGACAAAGTTTGATGATTCTAAGCCAATAAGTATCAGAAATAGTCAACAAATTCCTCAAGTAGGTCACGGTGACCTACCTTTTGGTTGACCCACTTTGAGGACCCAAAATGCATCAACTGACAAAGTTTGATATTTCCAAGCTAATTAGTACCTGAACTATTTAAATTAAGCCGTGAAATTGAAAAAGTAGGTCACAGTGACCTACTTTTTGGTTGATACACTCCGAAGACTCAAGATGCATCAACTGACAAAGTTTGATGATTCTCAGCCAATTAGTAACCGAAACATTTGATAATCCTAGGTAAAATTATTTAGGAAAAATAAATTGAATAAACTCAAAAATGCTATATTGTTATTAAAGTATATATCAATTTGCAAAAGTAGGTCATGGTTACCTATTTTTGGTTGACATACTTTGAGGACCAAAAATGCATCAACTGACAGTTTGATGATTCTAAGCCAATTAGTGACTGAAAAAGCCATGAATTACACAAGTAGGTCATAGTGACCTACTTTTTGGTTGACACACTTTGAGGACTCAAGATGCATCAACTGAAATAGTTTGATGATTCTAAGCCAATTAGTAACTGAACAAGAGGCCCATGGGCCACATCCCTCACCTGAGCACATTGGCTAGGCAAAAGCACAAATCAGTTCAGTACTGAAAAGATTACCCGGGGGGGGGGGGGGGGGCTTGAATTTTAAACTACCTGATGATGCTTCCATGTCAATATAACAAATGGCTTTGTTGTACTTGAGAAGATTTTTTAAAAAATTTCCCATATATTCCTTTGTAAAAATTTGATCCCCCATTGTGGTTCCTCCCTATTCCAGGGGTCATCATTTGAACTTGAATCTACACTACCTGAGGATGCTTCCACATCAATATGACTAAACATAGCTTTCCTGTTCTTGAGAAGAAATATTTTTTCTATATGTTCTTATGTAAAACTTTCGACCCCCCAATGGGCCCCACCCAACCCCTGGGGGTCATCATTTGAACAAAATTTTATCTACACTACCTGAGGATGCTTCCATATCAAAATGACTAATCATGGTTTGCAGTTCTTCAGAAGAAGATATTTTCCTATATATTTCTATTTAAGACTTTGATCCTCCATTGTGGCCCCATCCTACCCACGGGGGTCATGATTTGAACAAAATAGAATCTACATTACCTGAGGAGGCTTCCACATAAATATGATCAATCAGGGCTTTGCTGTTCCTGAGAAGAAGATTTTTAAAATTTTTCCTATACATTTCCATGTAAAACTTTGATCCTCCATTGTGGCCCCATCCTACCCCCGGGGGTCATGATCTGAATAAATTTGAATCTACCCTACCAGAGGATGCTTCCATATAAATATGAACAATCTGGGCTTTGCTGTTCCTGAGAAGAAGATTTTTCCTATATATTTCTATGTAAAACTTTGATTCTCCATTGTGGCCCCGCCCTACCCCCGGGGGTCATGGTTTGAACAAATCTGAATCTACACTACCTGAGGATGCTTTCATATAAATATGACTCATCATGGCTTTGCTGTGCTTGAGAAGAAGATTTTTAAAGATTTTTCCTATATATTTCTATGTAAAACTTTGATCCTCCATTGTGACCACGCCCTACCCCCGGGGGTCATGATTTGAACAAAATAGAATCTACACTACCTGAAGATGCTTCCATATAAATATGACTCATCGTGGCTTTGCTGTTCCTGAGAAGAAGATTTTTAAAGATTTTTCCTATATATTTCTATGTAAAACTTTGATCCTCCATTGTGGCCCCGCCCTACCCCTAGGGGTCATGGTTTGAACAAAATAGAATCTAAACTACCTGAAGATGCTTCCATATAAATATGACTCACCTTGGCTTTGCTGTTCTTGAGAAGAAGATTTTTAAAGATTTTTCCTATACATTTCTATGTAAAACTTTGATCCTCCATTGTGGCCCCGCCCTACCCCCGGGGGTCATGATTTGAACAAACTTGAATCTACACTACCTAAGGATGCTTCCATATAAATATGACTCATCATGACTTTGTTGTTCCTGAGAAGAAGATTTTTAAAGATTTTTCCTATATATTTCTATGTAAAACTTTGATCCTCCATTGTGGCCACGCCCTACCCCCGGGGGTCATGGTTTGAACAAATTTGAATCTACACTACCTGAGGATGCTTCCATATAAATATGACTCATCATTACTTTGCTGTTCTTGAGAAGGAGATTTTTAAAGATTTTTCTTATATATTTCTATGTAAAACTTTGATCCTCCATTGTGTCCCCGCCCTACCCCAGGGGGTCATGATTTTAAGAAATTTGAATCTACACTACCTGAAGATTTTCCACATGAGTTTCATCTTTGATGGCCCTATGGTTCTTGAGAAGAAGATTTTTAAATGATGCATTTATTTTTTCACTAATTCTTAATTATCTCCCCTTGAAAGAAGGCATGACCCTTCATTTGAACAAACTTGAATTCCATTAACCCAAGGATTCTTTGTAGCAAGTTTGGTTGAAATTGGCCCACTGGTTCTTGAGAAGAAGATGAAAATGTGAAAAGTTTACAACAACAACGACGACAACGACGACAGACAACGGACAAATTTTGATCAGAAAAGCTCACTTGAGCCTTTGGCTCAGGTGAGCTAAAAAGCTATTAAAGTCCTGAAGTAGGTTACAATGACCTACTTCTTGGTTGACACACTCTGGGTACCCAAGATGCATCAACTGACAAAGTTTGATCATTACAATTAGTACCTGAAATATTCAAATTAAGCCATGCAATTGCAAAAGTAAGTCATACTGACCAACATTTTGGTTGATGCACCCCAAAGATTCAAGATGCATCAACTGACAAAGTTTGATGATTCTAAGCCAATTAGTATCTGAAAAAGCCATCAAATTCTAAAAAAAAAAAAGGTCATAGTGACCTACTTTTTGGTTGACCCACTTTGAGAACCAAAATGCATCAACTGACAGAGTTTGATGATTCTTAGCCGATTACTGTCAGAAATATGAAAATGCAAAAGTAGGTCACAGTGACCTCTTTCTTAATTAATACACTCCGAAGACTCAAGATGCATCAACTGACAAAGTTTGATGATTCTAAGCCAATTAGTAACTAAAATAGCCATGAAATTTAGAAAGTAGGTCAGGGTGACCTACTTCTTGGTTGACACACTCCAAGGACTCAAGATGCATCAACCGACAAAGTTTGATAATTCCAAGCCAATTAGTATTCGAAATATTTAAATTAAGCAATGAAATTGCAAAAGTAGGTCACTGTAACCTACATTTTGGTAGATACACTCTGAGGACTCAAGATGCATCAACTGACAAAGTTTGATGATTCTAAGCCAATTAGTATATGAAATATTTAAATTAAGCCATGAAATTGCAAAAGTAGGTCAAGGTGACCTACTTTTGGTTGACACACTCCAAGGACTTAAGATGCATCAACTGACTAAGTTTGATGATCCTATACTTCAAAGTGTCCAAAATATGCCCATATAACAATTTGAGAATGAATACCTGTAAAATTCCAAAAATAGGTCACTGTTACCTACTTTTTAATAAATCTGTTTTAAGGCCCCTAGATGCATCAACTTACAAGGTTTGATGATTCTAAACCTCTTAGTATCTGAAATAGTGGCCTTCAATGTTTAGAAAATGATAAGTCATAAAATTCAGAAAGTAAGTCAAGGTGACCTACTATTGGGTTGACACACCTCAATTTCCCATGATGCATAAACTGACAAGTTTTTATGATAATAGGCTTCAAAGTATCCAAGTTATGCATCAAAATTAGAATGAAAATAAATACCTGCAAAATTCAAAAGTAAGTCACAGTGACCTACTTTTGAGTCAACATGATATGAGGTCTGAAGATGCATCAGCTGACAAGATTTGATGATCCTAGGCCTTATAGTGGGCAATATATCAAAGATTAAACAAAACAGAAATTTTATTCAACTTTGAAGTGACCTTGAGACCACGCCCTTTGCCCCAGGGTGATTCCCCGAGCAAATTTTAATCTACAACATATCCTCATCCTTGTATATAAGTTTAGTGATAATCTGCCCAGTGGTTCTTGAGAAGATTTTTTAGCAACCACTACTTTTGTTTTTATTTCCCTAATTATTTCCCCTTGTTTAAGGGACACATCCCTAGTTTTAGTATAAATGAAAGCAGTTGGGCCAAGGATACTCTGGGACAAATTTGAAAAAAAAATGACTAAGGGGTTCTCGAGATATGGCCCATTTTCGAAAAAAGTTTATGCACAACCCACAGATGGCCATAACATTAGCTCTTTGAGCCTTTGACCTACATGTATCTCTAACCTTTTGATACATTTTTCCTTCAAATATTGGAATTTGCCAATATTTGACTTTACAGTAACAAAAATGGGGGGGGGGGGGGGAGGGGGCATATACAGATTCTAAATGAAAATAGTCGTATTAAAACTACAGCAAAAGACTATACTCAGAAACAAGATGTCCAAGGGCCTTAACAGTCACCTTAGTATAATACAACACTGTAAAGGATCCATACAAGTATAAAATAAACAAAATAAACTGATACCTTAAGCTATGTTGCCCTAAAGCAAGAGAAATAGGATAATCAGGTATCATCAAAATAATTAGTTTAGTACCCGGTAACAAATTTTACAGAGATCTACTTACTTGTGTGTACATGCCCCCATTTGTCACTATCACCATGTTAACTAATTTGTGCTTGTTCTTTTTTGGTATACCATCTCATTCTCTCTCTCATTGACCTCTCTTGGTCTTTGAAGAGGATTTAAAGCATAAAGATATTATAGAAAATTCTTGTATAAATCTCTTTATTCAATTCACCTTTCAATTACATTATTTATAGTGATCAATTTTTACTGGTGAATAGCAAAGATGAATAACTTCTCTCAGTAGAACATAAATACAGCCCTGCCCTGCACCAGAACACATCAAATGGTCTAGAATTTCACAAATCTGGTAAAAATACCCTTGCTAATTACATCTTTGAACTCCGTTTACCTCCTACAAGCACAGGAGCAGTCTGAGAGCAGAAGATTTTCAAAGCAATAATACATTTTCACTATAATACATTCAACACAGCCCACCCTTAAGCATCCTTGCTCATCATAACTAATATGCATTTAGATCATCTGAGAAATACCCAGGAGCAGAGAAAACTCTCATAGAAATAATGCATTTTCACAATATATTCAACGAAGAAATAATGCATATTCACCATATATTCAACAAAGCCCTGTCATACACATAAACCCCTAACCCTGGGGACACAAATTTCGCAATTTTGGAAGAGACAGCCTTGCTCAGCACCATGCACATAGATTGTTTGCTTAATACTCAGGAGCAGAGATGTTTAAAGATATAATTAGGGATGTCAATTTTGTCAATAATTCATATTCGTATATTCAATGAAAGTATTTGAATATATTCGAATATTCGATAAAATAAATAAATCTGTTTTATTTTAAATATGCGTCATCCTACTCTCATGAAAGGTTTAGCGTAGGTATACTTTTTGGAAGTAAAATTGTATGAAGACATTCAGGTGTACAATAAGAAATTCTATTTGATATTTGTCAATGTTTGAAATAAATAATTGATTTAAAGGTAGAAAAGTATAATTTTAACAAATGAAATTTGTATTTATAGTAGCTCCAACTGAGGAACCAGTCGTCTTACAAAATGCAAGATAGTCGTAACGGTATACTGTTCAGATTTCAGTATGTGTAAAAAATTACAATTATCTGCCTAATAAGAGATATGATTATAATCTTTGATACAATGTAAACAAATTTTTTCATAGACAATTTTCCTAGGTAATTAACTAATTTCACGATAATGAATATAAAATTCAGGATTCTGTACAACCAGAGAAAATCAAGCAATTTACACATTTATTCTTAAATTAACCTTTTACAATATTAATTACAGATTAATTCTATTGGACATTTATTCAATGATCAATTAATTTTATTTTGATAAGTATACTCATTACGCCTTTTAGACATTCTTAGATTTAATTTTTGTCCTCGATTCTAGATCCGATTGTATCTAACTAATAAAAACTATGAAAGTACGTTTTGTATTATAAATAAAGCATTTTTGTACAATTCTTTAACACCTTACTCAAAACAAAATAGTACATGTAATTTAGTAAATCTATAAGATAAGATAGTAGTGAATGGAATCAGGCGATCGAAATTGATCGTTAGTAAATTAAACAGGGATAATTCCAGCACTGTTCTAATCAAAATTTATTAATCACAGTACTTCTTTTTATGAAATCTGAAAAACACCGAATATTCGAATCTTAAATTCATATTCGAATATCAACTCATCGAATGAATATTCGAATGTTCGAATATTCGTTGCCATCCCTAGATATAATGCATTTGCACTATATAACAATAGAGTCCCAATCTCACACCAGAACCACCGATTCAGGGACCATGAAATCCAATTGGAAGAGAGACCTTTGCTCTTCTAAACTTTGCACTTAGTTTGTTAGCTTAATACCTAGAAGCAGTAGGGATTTGCAAAGAATTTATGCATTTTCACTATATGATCAAAATAGTCCTGTTCTTACACCAGAACCCCTGACCATGACTACAATTTTCACGAATTTGAAGATGCACCATCACTCATCATAACCCTGCACTTGGTTTAGATTCTCTGACCCAAGGGCTATGAATGTCACAATTTTGAAGATTTTTAAAAATTACAAAAATTTTGTTGGTTTTAGCCCCACCCCAAAGGCCTGGGGGTGGGGGTGGAGAAGGACCATGAAATTCACAATTTTTATTCCCATTCACCCATAGATATACGCCAAAATTAGTTGATTTTGATTCAGCAGTTCCAGCATTGTCACAAACCACAGCCAAAATGTACGATCCTCTCCCATTCTGGCTGTGGTTGAATGAATGAGAAGAGAATATTTCGCAGCTCATTAAAATATTGACCAATGCGAGTAAAGCCTAGTCAGATAATGAACTTTGACACCACCTTTCAATACCCAATTGCAATATATGAAACATTTCTTGTATACTGTTGATGTCAGTTGTTGATTTCAATCGCGATGGAAACAAATACTGTCATTGGCTGAAAATGATGGCACAACACAGAGGCGTAAATATTCAAGATTATGACACTTTTTGTGATCAAGCAGCCACTGGTAGGAGATAGCTGTATATGCAGACTCCGGACCGTGGCTTGAGATGATGCAGTTCCAGAGAACAAGCTGAATATGCTTAAAAAATAATAACACATGAAAACAGATAGCATTAGGTCATTTAAGTGATTCATGTGACCTTCAAAATGGAGAAATTCATTTGCTTTCCTTAAAGGGTCAAATCACAGAAAATACCTCTTATATCAGGGTTTGACACTAAGGCACGTCCGACCTACCTATTCTAGTAAATGTGTGGTCCGGTCGTGTGAAATCTTCATGAACTAGACCGACTGGTCGTGTGGATGAAATAAATGTTAACCCTCATTTCAGTTTTTCAAATAAATGCTCTAAAAACGTTTTAAAGAAATTTTCTTAATTTTCCGATTGCAAACACATCTATTGCTCTGAAAAAAACTTACCTGCATGAATCAATCGCTATTTTTAGCCCGGCTGATAGACAAGTCACGATTGAAACTGGCTTCGTTCTGTATCATTTGGTATGATAAGTATTGAATAATAAAGTTTTTAATTTATTTACATGTATACATATTTTCAGTAATAATTTTATTTAAGTTCCTTGAATTAATGTTCTTTAAAGCTTATAATATTCGTATGTTTACTCATTGGGCTGCTACCCATGGGCTCAATGGGCTGCTACCTATGGAAAAGTCTGTCAAAATGTATACCTGAAAACGTGCGAGAGATACACTGTAGTATGGTTTCGAAACTTTTTTCATTATAATAGCAAGTTATAAAAAGAAATTTTTCAACTTTGGTCAGGGCTAGTGATTTTATGGTCAGGGCTAGTAAAAATTATGGGAAGTAGCCCGACTGGTCTAGTACTCATAAAGTTAATGTCAAACCCTGTATATCGTAAAAACATGCAAGGTTTGTCCCATACTTATCACATATTACACATACCATGTTTTCCTCAAACTAAATGTCAATCACAAGAATGCAGTGTAAAAGCATGTTTTAAAATAAAACAGATACCAACCAAAACACTGTGAGGAGCTGCTGGATCCTACTCCACTTGTCTTTTTGCCTAGAGGACAGGGCAAGCAGTAATGCTGCCCAGCCATGTCTTGGTAAAAGTGTTTCTGGCAGAGGGAACATATTGAACCATTCAGAAACTGTCCAACAGGGCACTCAGCTGAAAGAAATAAATTATACAGTTTGTTTGTAAAGCAGAAAAAAATAAAAACTGATATAGACTAGACTTTTGTCAATGTACATGTACAGATAATGTGTACTAAAGGTATTTTCAAGGTATCTGCTTAAACAACATTCTCTCCTCATAAGTACAGTAAAACACCTATAACAAAGTGCCAGGGACTGACGATTTTGCTTCATATTAAATGTTAATTTGAAGTAAATTTCTCACTTTGGAAAAAATTATCAGATTAAAATTTGCAACAATTAGCAGTAATTAAATACATATATCAACAGAGCAACAGTCATCGTAATGTATTCCAAGTACCAAACCGAGTTTCAATTCATATATAATGAAGTTACAAAGCAAGCAACATATGCGTTCCTTGAAACATTCTAGTTTTTTGTGTTGATGTGACTGGATATAAAGCGCTATTAATTTATCCCTCTTGAAAATTAGATGGAGGAGTTGGTAATTGGTTTGAAGTTGTTTTTTGTGCTTTGAATTAGAAATGAACCATGCATAAATGTTTATTATCTTGTTAAGGTTTGTTTTCTTTGGGATTCCAATGCAATATAGAGTTTCAGAGTTGATAGGAAAGTAACCCCAACCTTTGGATGTTACTACAGGTTTCGATGTTGTAACTTTATGTTTGTCTGTGACCGTAGTTGGTACATACACAGTAGTTGGAATTGTAGTTGTAGATGTACCTTCTGAAATCAAAGAATTCATGTTTATACTTCTATTTCTTCAATCAGGTGTTTCTTCTAATTACATAACAGTCAATATAAATATCTGATTATGCAGCTTGAATAATAATTTATTTTGAAGCTTTGTGTATACAGCTCTATATACTATAAAATATAAATTTTGCAGAAACTATATCAGGACGTGATCATATACGCAGAATAGAAGAAAGTAGAAACTGTTAAAAAGCACAACAAAAGAAACAAACCACAAAATGGGGTGATTACTGTTCAGTATTCAAATAATTATATTGATCTATAATTCTGCTCAGTTGTATATATAAGTCCTCTCTAGAACAAATTTCACCGTGAAAACTTCTGTTTGTATTCATGGGGAAGCCTGTCTTAGATTGAGGAGTAGGTAAAGGACTTGAAGTTGTTTTCTGTGCTGTAAATAGGAACTGGTCAGTGCATAAATTTTCATTAACTTGTTAAACTGTTGCTCATACACATAAATATTAGGTTTATATATCTACTATTTTTTGAAATATACGAATACAATGTCCATTTGTCAAGTGTTAAATTGGTCAATGACTATAAGTGAATTGGTTTAATATTACAGTCAACTAATTTTCAATTTCTTTCCTTAACGTGTACGGATGTTTCATTCATCATTCGGCCCACTGTAAAAGAAAACGCCCACCAAGCAAAAGTTTTCCATGGCTTATAAACCTTTAAGCAATAATAAATTGTAAGAATTCCCTCCCTGTCCTCTATTTATGCATTTTATGTTCGTTTACAATCTGAGAATACTAAAACAAATAAGGTAGCTTGGTACTTATTTATATCTGTAAAGATGTATGTATAAGAATACGTTTACACTCATTTTTATACATACATCTTTACAGATATAAATAATTCTTGCCAGTGTCAAAATCTGTCAATGTACTAGAACGATGCATAATTCCTTCAAAACCGTTAATGATATTGAAAGAAACGTCCAATTTGAAAAAAGTTTCATTATACAAAGTATATTATGACTGTATTTTTAATTTACATTGAATTATTAAAGCTAGAGCAAAATGGCAGAAATTTAAAAGTCTTATGTTTTTTTTTTCTATATTGGCTTCCTGAAAAATAAATCTAAGAAAAATACCAATAAATCTGACATTTTATTTGAATCCAGGTATTGAACCAACATCAGCCTAATTTTTACTAGCTTTCACAATTAATCACAAGAGGAAACAAATAGGAAAATTTACAAGACAACAAGTCAGAAGTAAAGCACCAAAGGATGACCATGGAGATTTTGTGTTTTAGTTCGATTTTCTGAAATTTCACCTACCAAACTTTTCTCTTGCTGAAGTACTTGAATTAGCTTCAAAAAACCCACATTAAATTGGGGTTAGATAAATACAGTATAAACATGTAATAAGCAGTGTAAAACATACATGTACATAAATAATGATGGAATAAGATATTGCAGTTCTACATTTATGAAGGTGATAATGTATGTACATAATGAATTCTTCACCAACACTAAATGGGAGTTTTAACAGATGTGTCCTTTGTGTCCTTTGGTTTGATGATTACTCTCTTAGCGTGGATAGCACACAAGCTGGTATCCTCAAAGAGTACAAGAAGGTAGGCCTCACTGGCTTCCTGGATATTTGGAGACAGAAGTGAACTAAATGATAAATTATAGTAAAAGATGATAAAAACTCACTTTCACAAAGTGTGTTGTCTTCGTCAGCAAAGTTTTCACAATCATCTCTGTTGTCACAGAGTTTGCTGGCCTCAATACACAAGGACCCATTTTTGTAGCAGTCAAATCTCTTAGCTGGACAGTGACTTACTGGTGGAGCTGAAAAATAAAAGTCTGTTTGTTCTTATAATGAAAGGAGAAGAGAGAAAATTGTTTCTGTATTTGGGATACTTTAACTAAATATAAGATATGAAACTTACGACAACCAGCTTCATCAGATCCATCCACACAATCCACATAGCCGTCACACTTGAGACTGTGATAGATGCAGTTATTGTCGCATTTAAATTGATCTGGTCTGCATGTGGCTGTGCCTTTAAAAAAAGAGAAATGAATTATTAAAGTTTTCATTTCTGTCTAATCTTTTCCTTATCGTTAATGTTATTAAATATCATCTTTCAAAATACATATGACTTAAAGATTCAAGTTCGGATTTTATCGTTTGCGATGGCATTATAGAGACGATTAAAAATGTTGAAAGTGTTGCAGATATTTACATATCATAAATAAAAAAAAATGGACTCAACTGGTGATGGTTGCAAACTATTTATACAAAGGTGCAGACTGTATGTATTTTGTTCTTGTTGCCTTTTTTATTTTTACCTTTTAAAATTTCTTTGTTAATGAACTTCCAAACTCTATTGCTCTTTAAAAAATTGTTAAATAAATTTTCTGAATATGGTAATTCATATTTTTGGCAAAACAATTTTTTGTCATTTCCAATATTAAACAATTAAAGATTAGACACGGGGCATTTCCGGTAGGAACAAGTAAAAGAAGATTATTGCTTACAGCAGGTGCACTAATTATCAAGTTATTAAAGTAAATATAACAAAATCCATTAAATACGTAGTAATATATATGAATATTTAGGGTACATTATAAACAGCAGATCAACTGTGAAGTACTATCTCAGAACAAAAATAAATGTACTACAACAATTATTATATATATAGTAACTAAATAGCATGTAATCTGTTTTCATAAAAAGGGGACATGCATGTGGTGCACCTTTTACGTTTGTGACTTTTAATACGCAATGAATGCACCAAGTGGTGGTCTTTAAATACAGTAATCTCAAGAATCAAACTAACATTGCAATTCATCTGATCCATCCAAACAGTCCTCGTCCCCGTCACATTTCCACGATTTGTGAATGCACTGTTTACCAGAGTTGCACTCCCATTCTGTGATCTCTGAACAAATAGATACATTTTTGGTTGAACAATTTGTTTCATCGCTTTGGTCATTACAATCAAGTTCGCCATCACACTGCCACAGCTTGTCAATACACAGCTTGTCTGAACACTGGAACTCGTCATCAGTGCAATTAACAGCAGCTATCACAAGAAAGGAAAAAAATAAATCATTTACTTATATCAATTTATGCATATTCTACAATTTTTACAATATTTGACCAAAAATACATACAACATAGTTTTTCATCGCTGTTGTCACCGCAGTCATCATCTCCATCACACTTCCATTTGTTTCTTACACACTTAGAGTTGTCACATCTGAATTCATCGCTAAAACAGGTAGGGGAATCACAAGTCTCATCCTCACCATTAAAACAGTCTGGAGAACCATCACAACGCCATCTAGCTGGGATACACTCTCCATTTCCACACCTAAACTTGTCTTCATGACATGTTTTATTTCCTGCAAATAAACATGATTTTTTTAACATGAATCATCTTTTAATCTTTCAATGACAAAACTATGGACTCAAAGCATCTTCATTAATATAATTAAAATCTTAATTTATTTAAAAAAAAAGAAAATATTATGAGATATTAACTTACTGCAAATGTCAGTTTCATCAGATCCATCCATACAATCTGTTTCATTGTCACAAGTCCACCTCATTGGCACACATTGACCAGATCCACATGTAAATTCACCTTCTGGACATGTCTTGGAAGCTACATTGCAATTTTATAGACTTAGTAAATATACAGAATAACCAAATATAGATTGGTTATAAATACAAACTTATAATACATAATATTACAGAATTTGTTGCACATTGAATATTCCTGTTTTATTGTCCTCCTCACTAGCATATAATTTTATTTAAACTCGTAAGAAAATTGCCCCAAAATCAATATTAATTTCTATACTTTTAAAAAATCATTCATCATGAAAAAATTAAAGACCAGATTTTTAACATCATAAACAACTATTTTTATGATAAATAAGGAACTCAGAAAATGTCATGTCCTGGGATTGGTCATTTACAAAGTTACTTTGTTAAAAATCCTTCTGATTCTACACACAACTACTCTGAATCTGATTTAAAAAGATGATGGAGTTCCTCATTGACTATGAAATAGGTGAAGACAGTAAACAATGATCTATCTAATAAAATCCTTAAACAATTCAAATTTTGAACAGCGCAAAATATACTGACCCCTTGAAACACAAGAGATGGGATCAGGTGTCTAGGAGTAAGGTTCCCCTGTCGACCGGACACACGGGTCGTGAGTCCTTTCTATTGATCAGATAAACGGAGTAATCCATAGTTAAAATCAGTATTTAAAATATGGTCTAACAATAGGTATTAAACATGTGTAGTCTTTTTGATATCGTGTCTTCTATCACTCTGTTGGAATTTCGATGGGCTCCAATCTAGCCTACTTGGTTTTTTTTTATTTTGTTATAAACAATAATTCATTCAAATACTTCTTCATGAAAAGAAAACTCTTGCCTTGGCCTTTAAATCTTTTAGATATGCTGATGACGTTTTATCATTTTACAATAGTTATTTTCATTCATACGTCAATTTGATACATCACAGTAAACTCAAAATAAAAGGCACCACAGAGTGCAACAAATGCTTCTTAACCGGGTGTTTTCTGACTATAGACGATCATGGCTACCTTGCAACTAAACTTTATGACAAATATGATGACTTCAGCCTTTCCAACTTTTTATGCAGTTATGTCATAAAAACTACTGCATATGGTGTTCGTCTCACAACTGATTCGGTACGCAAGGGAATGATCCAAGTACGATCAATATTGTATCAATGCAAGCAAGTGAAATAAAATTGATGCTACGGGGCTTTTAACAATCTCGTTTATAGTCAGCATTTTGCAAATTCTACTGTGGAGTTAAATAATGTTCTTATTTGCAAATACAATCTTTCATTGGGTCGTATTTGACTGATTTGACTGTTTCATACCAATTGTCAGGCCACTGTTTATACAGCACTTTTGAATGCAGATACTATTATTACCTGATCAGAAAAGAGGACTCACTTCCGGTGTAACCGGTCAATAGGGGATTATTACTCCTACTTGGCACCTGATCCTACCTCTGAAATCTAGACACAACTTGAAAGGCAGATATAACACATCGGTCATTGGACAATTGGAACCTGCGTTGACATAAAAAGCTGGTCAAAAAACATAATGACGTTTTGAATTGAGTGTCTCCTTAAAGATCGCAGATGGTGGTAACAATAGAAATCAATTATCGTCTTGGATTTTAATTTGCTTTCTTCATATAAAATTTGGAGCAAGTAGATTTCCAAATAGATGATAAATCGTCAAGAAGGTTTTGTTATCCAAAATTTCAGAAAAAAATAAATGAATCTAACTTTAGTCCCTGAAAAAGAATCCCAGAGCGAGAGATTGTTACAATTAATGAACCTATCATAGTCTAAACTAGATCATCCATTCAAAAATAGACTTTTAACTTGCAGTCTCTAGCTCATCATCTATCTTTTTGAAAAAAAAGGTGCGTAAAATTGGACAATAAGGACCGTGAGTAACTTAAATTTAAGGTCAGACGATACGTTCCACAAATATATGTTTGGTATCTCTTCATAACATATGAAAAATATTCAAAATTACCAATACCTTGTTATTTCTAAACTGTTTATAATTGTCTTCAAAAAGATCAAAATGGTACCGAAAAGCGCGATATTGGCAATTCATGCTATTTCCAATTAGTAGGATTATATAGAAAACACTATCCTCTGGTATCTTGCACAAATGCCTGGTAAAGGTACCTAAAATATTTGCTAGTAAACATCTTAAATTAGCAAAACTTAAATGACAAAATCATGAAATATATGGAGATAACGAACAGTATTCAAGCTCAAAAGTCCATTAAACGATACAAATTTTGGAGCATAGCAAACACGGACCTCCAAAACATCAGAGGTGGGATCAGGTGCCATGGAGGAGTGAGAATCCCCTGCCGACCGGTCACACTCGCCGTGTGTTCTTTGTCATGATCGGGAAATAACGGAAAAGTCCGTCGACAATTCAGTGTGTAAACAATGGCCTAACAATTAGTATGAAAAACGTCAGTCAGCATTTGACTTACTGAAAAATTGTATTTGCTGACAAGGTCATTGAATCGACCATAGAACTTATGAAATGACGACTTTAAACGAGATTGCTCATGAAGGTATTTTGCTGCATAAGTAAGGGAAGTTGACGATTGAAAAGTTAAAGTCATCACGTTTATCATAAAGGTTAGTTGTTAGATTACCATTAATGTCTTTTTCTAGTAAAATACCCAAATATGAAACAGATGTGTCAGACTCTGTGGTATCTTTTATTTCAAGCTCACCGGGATATATCATATCGACATAAGAATGGAAATAACCATTGTTAATTGACAATACGTCGTCGATACATCTAAATTCGAGTTGAAAGCCACAGCAAGTGTTTTATTCTTTTCACGTATAAGATTTTGAACAAATTCTGCTTCATATGAATACAAAAATAGGTCTGCTATTAACGGGGGGCAATTGGTACCCATGGAAATTCCAATAGATTTTTTGGAAGACCTGGTCTCCAAAAACCACATAGATATTGTCAATCAGAAACTCAAGCATCTTTTTAATATCAACTTCATAGTACTTGTGTGTGCAATCAGAATGTTTTTTAACAAAATAATTTTGCAAATGACCAAGGTAAGTAAATTTAAAAGTAGCAAAACTTCAATGACAAAATCTTGGGGGAAAATTATATATTTTTAAGGAACTTATAGTCTGACTCTAAGTAAAAGATAATATGAACTCAATTTGTTGAACAAATCGTATGCAAGGGTGAGTCAGGGATTAAGTATGAAGACGCCTGACAAAGAATTTTTCGACGTTTATACGATAGAGGCGCAAAAAGTATCCATACCAGCATGAAAGTGGGACAGGTTATCAATGTACACAAACCTGCATATATAAATGGAATTTATTTAATAACTACATGTATTGGATGAAGGATGTTCATGTATACCACATCAAACTTTTATTTACTGGATGTTTAAAGTGTCTCTGAAATATGATTTCATCATTGAAAGACCAATTATTATAAGCTCTTAATTCTATTTATTCATTTTTTCATAGAAAATGGAAAAAGACAAGGTATGGTAAATGCCAAATATGGCTCCATTTTTGATCTAAAAATCAATACACAGTTGAAATTGTGATTATTTGCAATTAGGAACTTTACACGATGCTTGTTTTAAAACCAGTATTAATTTTGCTTCGAATCGTACACAATAGGGTGACAAAATTCCTCCATTCTGATGGGATTTTATAAAATTTGAGATACCTTTCACTTCTGGTAAAATAAAGCACAAGCTTGCCAATCTGAGATTTTATTATTTTTTTCATAGATATTTCTATTTATATTTTTTTTCATAGATATTTATTTATTCATTTTTTCATAGATATTGTCAATCAGAAACTCAAGTATCTTTTTAATATCAACTTCAGAGTACTTGTGTGTACAATCAGAATGTTTTTTAACAAAATAATTTTGCAAATGACCAAGGTAAGTAAATTTAAAAGTAACAAAACTTCAATGACAAAATCTTGGGGGAAAATTACATATTTTTAAGGAACGTATAGTCTGACTCTAAGTAAAAGATAATATGAACTCAATTTGTTGAACAAATCGTATGCAAGGGTGAGTCAGGGATTAAGTATGAAGACGCCTGACAAAGAATTTTTCGACGTTTGCCAGAAAAGAAAAGTAAATTCAACTTATCTCCTTAAAGCTGAAGACAACTCGTAAATAGGCATACGCCATATAAAATTTCCCATATCTTATATCTGCACTGGGGTATACTAACCATTCGCATTCGTTACACCTGATTGCTTTTACCTTGTCACTGTTGCGAGTAGTACATGTGTGTCTTACATTGTCCTTTTTATTACGTTTTATTTCAATGAACGTGCATTTTTGTTTATTTCACATTTTCACATTGACCTGTGCTATTGATATTGAAAATATTTGGTCACTTTTTTGGCAGAAGCAAACAGAAGTCATGTTTGTTGCAACCATGTAAAACACAATGACAATGAAGGAGAAATCCTTTCATGTGAAGTCCGTGAGGCAAAATACATTGAACTCTGTACCAAGCCGAGGCTTATATAGCAGCTTGATATCGACGGTCTTGAGAAATCTAATATGGCGGACAAAGATAACTCTTCATGTAAGAGACTTAGAGATATTCCAGAAGAAATTCAAAATGACTCTAATTACAACATTTCCTATGAATTCGGCAGCGGAATGTGGCTCTCCAAACATGAATGAAAAATACATGTATGTGATTTTTAATATATATATATATATATATATATATATATATATATATATATATATATATATATATATATATATATATATATATATTATATTATATTATATTATATTATATTATATTATATTATATTATATTATATTATATTATATTATATTATATTTTTATGGATAAAAATAATTTTAAAACAATTATTCAAACAAACTGATTTTAGGTAGCGAAAATTTTAAGGCATTTGGTTAAGCTGTTCTCAGTTCCCGAGTTTATACGCATTGGCAAAAATGTTAGAAATAGCGAGAAAAAATGCGAATTGAATAAGTATTTGCGTAAATGATATTGAAACAACTTCAAACTTAACAAG